GTTGGTAAACAACTCTTGACCTGGTTACACTAACATGGGCTGTCGCAGCACGTCAAGCAACTTACACGGTTCAGACGCGGATATCTTCAAAGTTAGATTTAGTTATAACTAGGCACCGAACAGACCTTTTCTGGTGACGGAGAAACCGGCAGGAAAGAGTGATTATGGGGTACTACGTTCGTTGCAAGATAACATGCCAAAAGTTGAGTTAGTATGAAACTAGGCCAGGAGCAACGGGGGGCAACTAAGGAGAACTTTGAGAACGTAGGCTGGTTCCCCCATGTGCTTGAGCCATTAGTCGAAGAAAGATGGGTGGCGATACGAGACGGGTCACTAAGGTTAACCCAGGAGTTCACGTTTTTGGTTCTTCATGGATCTAGGAGTAGACGGCCATGGTGGTTGCCTACAATAGAAAGAGCGCTCACGTCTCGTAGGATGCGCTGGGCTTTTTATAAGCTTCATGGAACACATAGTGCTTGGTTCAACTGCAAGTTGGCCAGAAATAAGGCCGATGAAGCGGGGAGCAAAGTTCGAATATGAAAAGAAACTGGCAAAAAATATTGAAGCAAACCCGAAGAGGTTTTGCGTATGACATTCAAGAGAACCACACGTGGAAGTGTTGGAACCTTGGAGACGGCGGATGATAACATAGTCAGCACGGATAGAGACAGGGCTGAAACGCGGATGGATTTTTTTCAAGTGTTTATCGCCCGTCCCAAAGTGATTCAGTTCGAAACTCACTAGAGGAAACAAGCTTCACTTGTTAATCGCGATAGAGGACGAGGTACCGAATGAGCTTGAAGCCTTTGAAAGCATAAGGTGGCGGGTACGGATGAGATTCACTAAGTTATTGACTAGCCACTAACTGAGGTCATACTAGGACCTGTCACTAAAATGTTGAAGGCATCACTGAACTCCGGAGTAGTGCCAGAGGACTGGCGGAAGGCAACCGTTGTAGCAATATACCGATCGGGGTCCAGACAAAAGGCGATCAGTTTAACATCAGTGCTGTGCAAGTATCTAGAACGAATAGCCAGGAGGCAACTTTAAGCGTACCTGGTGACTCAAACTTCTATCTCCTGCACAGCATAGGTTTACCAGAAATAAGTCGTGCGTAATTAATCTACTGTTTCTAATGTTTCTGGACGAAACTACACGTGGTTTAGATCAGGGTAGGGCAGTGGAGGTATGTTACTTAGACTTCAGCAAGGCTTATGACTCAGTGAGTCTTGACCAGAAACTGCCAACGTTTGGAATAGTCGGGTCAGCGTGTCAGTGGTTGAAGCGATTTATCAGCAACCGTAGCTTCAGTGTGCGGGTTGGCAGCTATTCATCGAGAACAGAGAAGGTTACAAGTGAGGTACCACAAAACTCAGCTCTGGAACTCCTTCTATGCCTTCTTTTTATTGACCATCTTGCGCTATGATTGTACACTCCCTGCTTCATCTTTGCGGATGTGAAGATAGCTGGCGAGAAATTAGCCCAGGACCTAGATGCAGTCGCAGATGGTCGGCTCGAACCTTGCTGAATCTTGCAAAGTGCCAGCTACTGACTGCAAATGCAAATCCAACCGGAAACACGACCCTACGAGGTGTCGAATGTCAACGACCTAGATATGATTGTCACCAGGGACTTTCAGTCTATTAGGTAATGCCAGGTGGCCACAAATAAAGCCAGAAGAGTACTTCTCAGGCTGCGTACCACAGCCGCTTGTAGGGAGCCTGAGGCATTCATTCCACTGTACAAGGTAATGGTGCGTCTACTTTTGGAATACTGCGTACAGGCCTGGGCCCCATTGTACCGCAAAGACCTGGAGTGTCTGCGGAAAGTAAAGTAACTGGCAACTAGAATGGTTACTGGACAGATAGGAAAATGCTACTCGCGGCTTCCGGAGGACTTGAATCTTTTCTTGCTGTCACGCTGTTGAACCAGGGGTGACTCGACAGAAACTTTCAAGATGGTCAGGGGTTTGCCCGGTATAGGACTAAACAGCATTTTCGTGTCTGTTCCAGAGCGTGGCACTAGGGGCCATAACAGTATGCTGCAAAGAGAACACTCCAGACTGGGCCAGGTTATCATAAATTGAGTGGTGCCTCTGAGTATTGCTGGGGAATGTCATAAACTGCACAACAGTGATTGCCTTTGAAAAGGCATTGGATCTGTGCTCGGAGCTGATCACTTGAGAAGCGAAAGAAGGAGAATGTTCGTTTGTTCTACATTCTTTATTCATACGTATCTGGTGGGTATGATCCTGCACCTCAAAATTCTGCCTTTCAAGGAAAAGCAGAATGAACGACTGACGTGCAGCGCTGGAAGCCGAGGGAGCTTGCTCACAACAAAACGATCGTACGATTGATTCCAGCCACTTCCGTCCTGTGCAAACTGAACTGCCCCGATCATAAATTGGGATTCCCGAAACCTTGAGGATGTGGATGAATCCTGGGAGTTGGTCCGTCATGGAATCTATCACCTCGTGCAGGAATTCTCTTCACCCCACCGCCAGCGAACACACGCTATAAGCCCGTCGTGGTTTGATCGAGAACTGCCGGCATGCCTCCGGCAGCGGAATAAAGCCTGGTCCAGGTACCGTGCAACACAGGATATGAGGAATATCGAGGCATTCGGAATCATTATACTGGACTGAAAAAATGCTACAGAACCAGATTCGAGGAACGACTAGCAGCGAATTCTGTACAGGCACCAAAGCGATTGTATGCCTACCTCAGGTGAAGAATCACAGCAACGCCTGATCTCCCGAATCACACTAAAAACGAGACACTAGCCGACAATGAAGACAAAGAGATATTGGCATCATATTACGCCTCAGTGTACACCCCAAACTCTAACACATCCACTGGGCGCTGACACTGTTCCGAACTGGTCTCCATTCGCCGTCGGACAGGTGGCCCTGGAGCTGCATCGGCTAAAGGTTCACCAGTCACCTGGACCTGATGGTGTGCATCCGCTTATCTTAAGGGAGCTGGCAGATGAACTTACGATGCCACTGTGCACCCTGCTCAAATTGTCATTCACACGGGCGTTTACCGCGGCAGAGGAAGGATGTTGTCATTGTACCACTATCCAAAGGTGGAGATAAGAGTGACTCTGGAAACTACCAACCATTCAGCCTTGCCAGTGCTGTGATTAAAGTAATAGAGTGATTGGTGGCTTTGGTAGCATTTGGTGTGCCACGGTCACCTGTGCCACCAACAAAACGGTTTCCGGCCGGGTCGCTCATGTCTCTCAAACCTGATACTGGCCTGTGAATGCTGGACCGAGACCAAGGCCAAAGGTCGAAACGGACATCATCTAACTCAGAGGTAGTCTACATCTTTCAGGGGACCACATTGTGCAGAACATCGTGCGAGAGAGACCTGGGAGTTATGGTAACGTCATCACTAAAGATCCGAGGAAACACTGATCGGGTCTGTGCCAGTGCGTGGAGCATTCTGGGGCCTGTTCGGCGATCTTTCAATCGGCTCACGATGGTTGGTGTCAGATTGCTGTGCGCTTCCCATATCATACCAAGACTTGAGTAAAGTGGTGTGGCGACATGCTCCTGCACGACCGATGAACTGGCTAAGTTGGAGCGTGTACAAAGTGCGGCCACTAGACTCGTTGTTGGACTACGCGGGACCAGTTATGAAGGTCGTCTACAGGCTACTAGTCTGTTCCCAGTTGCGTATCGGCGCCTTAGGGGAGATCTCATCCGTCTGAGGAATATCCTGAGCGGCGATATGGGCTCGGAGTTGCAGCAGTATTTCCCATTACGGACAGGACCGCACGT